ATGCCCCAGGCCCTGCCCCCCCCCCCCCTCCCCCCCCCATATGGGATGGGTCCCATATACTGGTCCCATATGAGATCTTCCCCCCCCCCCCCTGTGGTGTGGTGGGGGTGTGGCACTGTCCCCCTCCCCCCCCTGTGGTGTGGTGGATGGGTCCCATATACTGGTCCCATATGAGATCTTCCCCCTCCCCCCCCTGTGGTGTGGTGGGGGTGTGGCACTGTCCCCTTCCCCCCCCTGTGGTGTGGTGGATGGGTCCCATATACTGGTCCCATATGAGATCTTCCCCCTCCCCCCCCTGTGGTGTGGTGGGGGTGTGGCACTGTCCCCCTCCCCCCCCTGTGGTGTGGTGGGGGGGTGGTATGGTATGGTGGGTATGTATGGTGTGTATGGTCGGTCTGGTATGGCATGTTTGGAAAGTATGGTATGTTTGGTATGTATGGGAGGTATGGTATGTATGGCATGAGTGGTTGGTATTGTATGGATGGTAGGTATGGTATGTAAGTCTGTTGGATATGGTATGTTTGATATGACAGTATGTATGGTCTGTATGGTATGTATGGTTACTATGATGGGTATGGAATATGTCCTATCTAAGGTAGGTATGGTATGTATGGCATGTATGCTTGCTATTGTATGTATGCTATTGTATGTATGGTAGGTGTGGTAATTACATTTCATATGTATGGTATGTATGGTATGTATGATAGATATGATAGGTATGGTATGCATGGCATCATTGACATGTATGGTAGGTACGGTATATGTTCAACAGAGGTAGTGTTGTCAGAGTACACAGGTAGTAAACAGGAAGTAGATACAGTAGATACATAGCACATGTATGTATGACTATAGGTAGCACGTAGGTACTTTGAAGGAGTATGTGTGCTACGTAGGTCGCCTAAAAGGTAGCATGTACCTAGTAAATGCGAGGCTGGTAGTCAGAAATGCTGCAAAGACCTAGCAAATACGACGCTGGACCTCAGAAATGCTGCCAATAGCTTGCAAATAGAAGGGAATTGGGGCTACTACCTGGGACCCAACCCATGGGGGGGGGGGGGGTGGAGAGACGGAGGACGGGACCATATATACATGACATAGCTGTTATTGTAGTTGGAATTTGGAATATATTGTAAGCATAGCTGCAATCTGTTGGTGGGTTTTGCGATGAGGAACTGGGACCTTGCCACGAATCGTATGCGGTTAATAAGCCTGATGAGGCAAGTCCCCATTCAGTGGGCTTATCCCATATGTATATATGTATACATCTGGATGCTCAGTTAAGTTAAGTTATAAATATGTAAATACGTTTTTGTTTCTCCTCCAATCAGCGACTAAATGGGATGATCCTCCAAGTATAGAAATGGATGATATCCCATCGATTGCCAAGGAAGCTGAGCCGGTTTCCGCTAACACCTCGGGGACAGAGAGTCTTCGGTTGATGCGAAAAGCCCTGGAGTGGTACCGGCATAAGGGATGGTTCAGAGCCACTCGGCCGGTGGCTGCTACAAAACACCTGTTGCATCGGTCAGTGCCTCGCTTAGGCCTACGTTTTGGCTCGCTTAGGACTACGTCGGAGATACATAGCTACAGTATCAATATAGAAAGATTTCAACAAGATAAACCCTAAAGGTGTGTAACCAATGGAGTCCAATGTGTTTGATGTCGTGTCTGTTACCTCTAGTAGTTCCCACTGTCCCCGGTCCCCTGTCCCCTCCTAAAGATTAACCCTAAAGGTGTGTATCCAATGGAGTTGACCCTAAAGGTTGAACTCCACATCCCTGAATGTCGTCCTAAGTGATCCAAAAAGCCGTTGCATCTGGCTATTTCATGGGGATTTCACCATTAAAAGTGGATTTTAACCCTCAATGCTGTGGGAATGTGATATGATATGGTTGATAAGTGATGATAAATGATGATAAATGATGATAAGTGATGATAAATGATGACAAATGATGACAAATGATGATATATAAATGATGATAAATTATGATAAATGATGATAAATGATGACAAATGATGATATATAAATGATGATAAATTATGATAAATGATGATACATGATGAATGTGTGGTTAATGGTTCAGATGATGAGCCATGATGCTGGGGAACATGGAGACATTGGACCTTGAAGACATGTCTTCTCGGTAGGGGTTTGGTCTTCTTCACGTGGACATGTAAAGTCCTAGGCCTGTTGTTGATTGAATCCTTAGAGCCTTGCCATATCATTGCAGTCCAGACGCTTTCACTCCCGAAATTGGCTTAAGCATACTGTAGGAAAGTTTCGCAGGAACCCCCACTTCTCTGAATACATTTGATTCGATGGTGAACGCCATGCTGTACCGAGTATATCAACCCAGTGACCCACCATTTTCACTGAGCTTCTGAGGGCACGCCAAAGATCGTGCATTTCCCGGGTCATTTGCGCAAACCATGGCAACGCTTCTTGGATATGCTTGGATCGTTGTACTGAAGCGCCAAGCATTGGAGCTATCTTGGATTCTTGTTTGGCATCATGTATCCCCTCTGTATCCCCTCTGTGGTTTGGAGCTTCGGGCAGGATCTGCATCCCCTGAGGCTGGCTGCCCTTGGCCCGCAGCCCCTGGGATGAAGCTTGGTGGTCTGAGCATCGCACCATGTGCAGCAGCAGCAGGGCGCCCTGTCGAATCCGTTGCTGAGGCCCAAGGCCTGACAGGGGGAGTGGCTGGAGGGGAAATTGAGACCACAAGATTGGGATCAATTACATATTACTGCATCATGATTCTTCACATTTCTTCACCATTTCAATGACATAAAGAACAGGGCTGCGGGATGGCTGTAGGTGTTCTCTCTTCCAACAAATCCTCTAGCACGACCGTTGAGAGCCAGAACCCATTTGTATCATTTGTATGGCAGAATCGCAGAGCTTCCGCCAAAAACCCGTGGCAAACGAATGCAAAGCATACGTGGCATGTTCATAGCTTGGGTAAGTTGCGCAGCTCTTTGGGGCTGGTTCTCCGTTTTCATAGGGATTTACCCTCTGGTTATTTAACATAGCCATGAAAAATGGATGAACATGGCCCATTTATAGATGGATTACCTATTAAAAATGATGATTTTCCATGGCTATGTTAGTCATAACCAGATGGCAATGGGATTTATCTGCGCCCTGGTTATGACTGGGATTTCCATCTGTGGGATGACCAGACTACATCCCATGAATCCCATGGCCAGGACGAGCGAAACCAGAGCGGTGCTGAAACCAGCGCCCGGTGTGAAAAAAACACATGCGCCCGGTGGAGACTGTGGAGAGTGTCTCTCTTGGAATATCTTGGAATCTACCATGGATTTGGCGATGATGGGCACCCCCCATTGCGGGCGAAGATAAAAAAACGAGGGGAACCGTTAGATGTTCGATGTCTCATCCTTGGAAGGATGAATCCTTGGCATTTACCGTGTTGTGAACCGCCTCTGGCCTAAGGCAATACATGGGTGTGTCCAACGCCTTGTGCCACTTGGTGCATTTGGAGGGTCTCAGAGTATAGACGCAGGGGCCTGCAGATGTCAGCAATGCTTGGCAATTAGAGAGCTAAGTCGCCATGATAGCCATGATAGCCATCCAATTTTGTGTTTTGAGAGCTGTATATCCCGGTTTCAAGGCACTTAGATTTCACCCATGCCCATGGAAGGGCAAAGATGATAGGATCACTAAGAGGATAAAGCACCTGGATTTGTCGGAATGTAGGGGTGCCCCAACATAATGTTCATATGGCTGCCATATGGCCATTTTGATATGATGACAAACTATGGGATTCCAAACCCACACGCCAAAACACCTGAAAACACGGCATGTTTCCCGCTGCACCAGGTTTCCCGGGTCAAACATGATCCTCTATGACTCATTAGTTTTCTATGGAAACGGTTGAATGGGATTTTCTTGGGACTCAATTTATGGAGTTGAATGCAACATCACCATTTCAAGGTTTTGAAATCACTCAGCCAAGATGCATGATCATGACATTCACGGGTCAACTGGCCTGTGGGTTCACACATTTTTCATTTTTCATCCAGTTTGGGAGGAGTATTCCCATGTATTCCCATTGGCTGACGAATTTTCAAGGGGGCGAAGCCACCAATGAGCCACCATTGTTGTCGATTAATATCCCCTTTTGTAGTGAGTTATGCACGATACATCACAAACACATATATATATATATATAGAATGTGCATATATACATATATTATACATCCTGAGTTTTGTTGGGCATATTGGATAATATCACCATATATCCCTACTTGGTGGCACATCCCACTTACTAAGCAGGTTATATCCCTGGTTCTAAGTGGGATAAGTAAGGTTAAATCCACTTACAACTGGGGTTATAACCTATACTTACTGAGTGTGGGACGCCTACCGTAGATGGACGAATTATTCAAACCCTTATACATAGAGCAACCCCCCTCACCCCAAATATCAATGTTATTTTCTTGTTTGGTTCGTTCCTTCGAATGGACGAAATAAATCAAACCCCCGGAGCAGGAACAGCGCTACGAAACCATAACATTGAAATTCGGGGGAGGTAGGGGGTGGCCTATAACTCATGGATAGGGGTTTGAATAATTTGTCCATCTACTGTAGTTTTGCTGGTTATATCCACCATATGTCTGCAGTTTTTGTCCACCATATATCCCTCGTGTTGCTGGTATTCTCCATCTTTTCTTGATGGCGCTTGGACATGCTTCAGCTCCTGTGTCTTTTTCTTTCATAGCACCTGCGAGGCGGCTTGATCTTGGCTCTGCGTTGCTTGGCGAAAGTCGAGGGATGCGGGGTTGCAGTTTCAATGAGTCTGAAAATACTAGTTTTAATGGGGTTTATATGTTTTTTTTTGGGTTGTACCCTATAAATGGCGGTTTTAATGGCAAAATCCTCTATAAAATAAATCGAGTTTTTTCATGGGGAAATCCCTCTTATAAATGGTAGTTTCAACAGGAACATCCCCTATGAATGGAGATTTTAATGGGAAAATTGTCTATGGCATGGTTATAGGGAAAGTCATCGAACCTAATGGTGAATTTGCAAGCCACGCCAGGTTTAAAATTGGGCACTTTCAATGGGGAAGATCTATCTGCTGGTTACATGGGAGTGATTTTGGGTGCTCCCAAACCTATTTTTGTTGGGGACCAACCACCAACCTGCAAGGCTTTAGCGATTTTATTACATCCAAACAATCATGCCATATCAACCCTTCCCCCTACTATCTACCCAAATGGAAACCCTCGTGATTGAATATTTTCATTTAAGGTCCAAGCAACGAATGGTTGTGCGTTTTGTTGACTACCATCCGGTTTGCGAACTGGTAAAGATGGCCCATATTGGGTTTGAATCATTTGCCCTGGATTTTCTGATGATGTTCCTATCAAAACCACCAAGAAATCATATCTTCCCACATAAAATGGGGCTGTTTTCCCATATTTTCCCATGAAAACATGGTGATTTTCCACAGTTCAATGGTGCCTTCGCGTCTCGAGGGACCATCGGCGATGGCTTGGGAAACACCGTGGGCGGCACGCTGGGGGATTTAGCACACCTACAACGGCCCAACACGGGGAGGACGTTGGGTTCCACGGTAGCTGCTTTTCCCTTTAAAATGGCAATGGAAAATAGCCAAGATCGCCTAGAAATGGAGATTTTTATGGGAAAATTATCAAAATCAACTATAAATGGAGGTTTATAGCTGGGAGAATGATATGAATGATTCTAACTGGATCATTTTTCAAAGCAAACTGTTGAATAACCAGAGATGCTTATCCACACATATCGTATCCAAATACATTAGCACACCTACAACGGCCCAACACGGGGAGGACGTTGGGTTCCACGGTAGCTGCTTTTCCCTTTAAAATGGCAATGGAAAATAGCCAAGATCGCCTAGAAATGGAGATTTTTATGGGAAAATTATCAAAATCAACTATAAATGGAGGTTTATAGCTGGGAGAATGATATGAATGATTCTAACTGGATCATTTTTCAAAGCAAACTGTTGAATAACCAGAGATGCTTATCCACACATATCGTATCCAAATACATTAGCACACCTACAACGGCCCAACACGGGGAGGACGTTGGGTTCCACGGTAGCTGCTTTTCCCTTTAAAATGGCAATGGAAAATAGCCAAGATCGCCTAGAAATGGAGATTTTTATGGGAAAATTATCAAAATCAACTATAAATGGAGGTTTATAGCTGGGAGAATGATATGAATGATTCTAACTGGATCATTTTTCAAAGCAAACTGTTGAATAACCAGAGATGCTTATCCACACATATCGTATCCAAATACATTAGCACACCTACAACGGCCCAACACGGGGAGGACGTTGGGTTCCACGGTAGCTGCTTTTCCCTTTAAAATGGCAATGGAAAATAGCCAAGATCGCCTAGAAATGGAGATTTTTATGGGAAAATTATCAAAATCAACTATAAATGGAGGTTTATAGCTGGGAGAATGATATGAATGATTCTAACTGGATCATTTTTCAAAGCAAACTGTTGAATAACCAGAGATGCTTATCCACACATATCGTATCCAAATACATTCATGAAAAATATGTGCCATGCAAAAAAAAAATGAATTGTCTGTATAACCATATTCATGGAAGAATGTTTGGATTAGTCCGGAGAATCAGCTATAATTAATTAGATTAGTGCCATGGTAATAAGATTGATTAAAAACATTTGAACCCACCATCCTTGCAAATTGATGACTGCAGAAGAGGAATGCTCTGCTAGGGGTGATTTTTTTTTGAAGGGAGGTTGCCTTGTACCTTGGCACTTGAAAATTTGGTCACGCCTTGCGATTCCTCACCCTTCCTGTTCTGTTTTATTTCCCACTTCCCTTTGGATTAAATCTTGCGACACTACAAATATGTGCATGATGCATGTTCTTATGGTATACCAACTCTTGGGGCGCTCCGATTGTTGGCCCCGGTCTTCTCTTGACCTTCACGATATTCATTCACCATAGTTTCAAATGCACTGAGCCCACCACCAGAGTCCGGGGCTGTGTCATTATGGACCTCTGAGTTCATGCGAAAGCCGAGTCATAAGATTGATTGTATAGCCATAATGAATATTGGTGGATGGCCTTCAATCCATGAATGGGGATTTATATACATTCACTATCAGGATTCCTTTTATGGGATGGCTGACCATAAACATCCATAAACCATATAACATGTTTTGACCATGGTTCTAGTAATAATGGATGATGAGCTACATATTCTTCCATGAAAACTTGAGATTGTCCTTGCGAAGCAAAATTACCAGAGGGTACCGCTGGCAATCAAACATGGCAATATATAATATATATATAATAGATCCAGAATTTGCACGGTAAAAGTAATGTGTGTTTTTTCAATATAAACACCATCCATTTCATGGTAAAAACGTGTCTGACTGAAAATGATCCAATTGGTTGATTTTCGTTTTCAGCTTGGGACTGTCCCATTGCTGCATGAAATTGCAGGAGGTTCATTTTTGGGTTCCATGTTTCATAGTGGCATTCAGCGCACGAATATGAGTGGTCGACACCTCTGGTGTTCATTTTTTTTAATGCAAAATACCTTGTTGGTTTCTCCTTATATACATAAACCTGACGATGATGAATCATAGGGTGTTGAAATCGTACATTTCCCCCAGCTTTAAGAAAGTGTGCATGGTAGTAAGCGATTCCATTTGACTCCTAACTTGGCAAGTCATCTATTTCTGCAATGTGTGATTTGAGAATCAGATATGATATATGATATTAGTACAGCCTTTGCACGAAGCCAGACAAGTTTCCAACACAGGTTCTCTAGCATTGGTCAATGAAAGGTCATTGAATCACGCACGTGTATGTATCTGTATTAGTTACATATGTATGTAGAATTCATACTAACCATGTAGATCCATGCGCAGTCTTGTACTAGATCATGCATGCTTATATATATGTTTATATACCTTCATCTTACCTCAAGAAGCATCCAAAAAAAACATAAAATCAACATTCGATCATCTTCGATCACCATAAAGAACAGCAAGCAGGACCTACGATGTTTATTTCCTATGTAAGTTTCCCATGACGACTTTTTTTAGAGCCAGGATCTATGTGGCCATGTGGTCGGTTCTGGCTTCGATCCCCTTTTCCTACATCATTTTCGTGGGTGTGGCTCGGCGCCCGCCAAGGTGGAGCTTCTAAGGTGGAGATAAATGTAGGGATGATTCGGATGATTCGTAGAGTAACCCCCCCAAGAAGATAGTTCAGTACCATTGATATGGCATCTTTTTGGGTTAAGCTTTTTATTGGGATATTCTAGAGTTGTTATATTAACTATCCAAAAAAAGCTCTTAATTGGATTGTACTTTTCTATCCCTTTTGGGGGGTTTCTATATTCATCTTCTATATTCATCTTCATTGATCTTCCCAAGTTATAGGTGGCGGGTGATTGGGATAGCTGAGGCCAGAGCAAGTGCCAATTCGCAAGATGCTTGTTGGCACATCATCGGGCGATGGACAGCCCCCGATCAGAGGTTTAAGTGGAAAATCTATGGATGGTATCCTCTGGTTATGACTAACATAGCCATGGTATAGATGGCCATTTATAGAGGTTTACCAGGTTTACCTATTCAAAAATTGGGGATTTTCCATGGCTATGTTAAATAACCAGATGGTAATATCTATAGTCTATGAATAGCGGATTTTCAATTGCCACATTTGATTGCCAGAGATAATTAAGGGAATTTTGCAAGAACCCCACTGCAATTGGTGGTAAAAAAGATGTAAAATGCTTCCAGTAGATTTTTCTTAAACCAACACATTGAACTAGGCATTTGGAGGAACCGATCGAATCATTTTTGGCATACCTCACAGGGAGGTTTAGGAGGTCTAGATATCAGGAAGTCAAGGATGGGTTGGTGGTTGGACCGCCGAGAAACCACCATATTTTTTATTGGGTTGGTCAACTTTTGTAATTCAGCCTATTTCATGAGTGAAGTGTGTTGATCCATGCCGTTTCCTCTCAGGTCTTCTTCGCTGGCATCCTGTTTCTGACGGGCTTGATCAGCAGTTGGGGGTCATAGCGGGGCTGGGTCAACACGTGGCACGGCACCACGTGGGAGTGCCACTTAAAATGCGGATCCTGGATCATCTGGATCTGAGTGCACGTGCCAACACCAATAAAACATGATATATGGAGGATATGGGTATGTCTGAAAATAGGGTATACCCCCAATTATAGCCATTTAGTAGGGATAATGATCATTAACCATTGGCTGTAGGGGTACACTATTTTCAGACAAACCCATATATAGAGGTACAAGAGAGACAAAGGATGAGTCATTTATTAAATGGTAATTATGTCAAAAAGTCGAAGGGATCCAGCAGATATAGCAAACAGATATAGCAAACAGATATAGCAAACAGATATAGCGAACAGGTTCACCCCGCGTTTTCGTTGCATTCCCCAGCTGAGGTTGGGAGGTGTCTGGCTGCTTGAACCCAGTGCTGTGTGGATCCTCAGGTGAATATGCATAGCAGGGGCCAGGGGCCCTAGGATATTCCAGTGATCAACTGTTCAATAGACCATAATAGCTGGGAGAATATAGGATGGACCTATAATAGGATATCCCATAATAGGATATTCCTATTCCAGAGATGGTCTGAATCGTAATCCTAGACCATAATAGCTGGGAGGATATAGGGCATGGCTTGTAAACAACAACTTGTAAATGGAAAAACCAAAAGGAATCCGGAACTCACCAGCTCTTTTCTTAAATCCGTCTTCTTGTTAGGTACACAATTTCTACTGGTGTTTCTAATGATAATTTACATCATCCCAGGGGTCCTATTTTTAAAAATTCCACATCTGATTGATTAATTGCATTTTGACATCCATTCTTTTTGGCTTACCCTCCAGTAAACTACCATAGACATGGAAAATCATTGAAAGTCATGGAAAATCAACTATGGAAAAGTTGGAAAATCAATGAAACTCATGGAACAAGTTGTCCGTCCGGTCCATGCCGCGTCAGGATCGACATTGTGCCGCGCCGGCAGTTGGCTTCGGCCTTTGCCTGGAACGTTTGGGGGCCGAGCATCCACTGAGATTTGCCCCCTTCTCCCTGTAATTATAGGGGATATAGTGGGTGTATATAATGGGAATATAATGGGTAGTAGATAGGATAATCGGCTAAACATTATATATATAATGTATGTATGTATGTAATGTATGTCTGATAGGTGGTTTTTAGCCAATCTTTTCAAATATGTTTTGTGGTTGGAGTTCAATTCATCGGGCATTTCACCAACCAGATATGGACACATGCCCCCAGTGTGTGACGTCGGGTGTATTACTGCATATGTGTTTATGCTGTATGTATGTATATATATATACATACGTACGTACACACATATATATATATACATAATATACATGTGTGTATATAATAATATATATATACTCGTATATATGCACACACATATGTATATATATAATAATATATATATGTATATACACATCCGAAAGATTTTGTGCCCACATGCCCGTTTTGTGGCTGGAATGGGTGGTATATCCTTATTGAACAAGAGTAGTCGGTTTGGGGTCGGTCAGATCCACTTCACGAAAGTTTCTGGATATTTTTTGTTGGTGTATAGGGTGTACCTAGGATCTGTTCTTCTTAGGTAGCATGATTCATGTTCATGTACCGCAGCCCTTTTTGGTTTACCTTTGAAGCAGAGCGCTGAGAAGAAAAGGTGCGCTGGGCTGCATCGAACTAGTGAGCCCAAATTTCCGTTGCATGGTAGCGGAGCTCCTGGTTTGGGAGCTGGAAGCGCCTGGCAAGCGAAATGAGTCCCATGCTCCAAAGGCACAGAGCTGGTTCAGTTCGTGCCCTGGCCAAGCGAGTTTGGCACAGGACTTGGTGATGGAGTCGCCAACAGGAGGAAAAGGGACAGCAAGACTTGGACCAGGTACTACAGCCTTAGAACTTCCCCTTGGGCAAGTGTGGCATGCAATGCAAGCTGGAATGACTCAAGTGGCACACAGTGCACAACAGAAGTTTGAGTCGCTGGAGCGTGGCCTACAAGATCAGGCCAGAAGATTCCAAGCAGACCTGGGAAACATTGCAAGACGATGGCAGGAAGAAGCGGAGGTATCCCAAGAAGTGATCTCGAAAGATCGTGTAGAGGCAAATGACTGCTCCCAACAGGACGGTGGATTACCATCAGCCAATCAGCTCTGCAAAGAAGGTTCAAAGGAAGTTGGCAAACCTTCCCATGGTGGAGAATGCGGTGCTCAGAGACTTGTAGACAAGAAAGATGAAGAGGCTTGTGCGCAGGAATGGCCAGGGAGGACAGACTCAGAGACTGAGAGCGACTTGGGTCTTGTCTGCGTGGTTGGTGGATCCAGTGCTGTTTCAGCACGGGCCCATCGGGAGCCCAGAGCTGCTTCAGCTCGGACTCCCACGCCTATGGACCGAGAAACTCCAAGGACCATTGTTCGTCCTGAGTTTGGAGTCTTGTCATGGTTCTGGCCCAGACCCAAGGATGTGGCCATGGCAGAGTGTAGGAAGGATCGGTATGGTGCTGGCCCTGGTTATCGTTGCCCAGTGCCTGGTTGTGGAGGACGTCAAAAGACTTTTAAGACCGTGAAGGATCTGGAACGTCACTTGGGTAGTAAACTGCACTGTCCGGGCCACCCGTATGACCAACAGTGGGCAGCTTGGGAAGCTGAAACCAAACGTGGCTACTATATAAGGCCTAAATTTCCTGAAGAAGAAATTGCACTGCGCAAGCCGGGCCACTGTGACGATGAGAAGCCTACTTGGATTTACCTTCCAAGGGAACCTGACTACTCGAAACACGATCAGACCCCTGAGTCCGAGCAAGGTTCAGAAGAAGCAGAAGCTGAAGAAGCAACAGCAGGAAGGCACGAAGCAGGAGAAAGATCGGAGGACGAAGTATCGTCAGAGGTGCAAGCTCACTCGGACGCGGGATCCGAGCCAAGCAAGGAGGAAGAGATGGTTGACGAGGCACAAGAAGGAGAGTCTGAAGCGGAGACAGTGACGAGCGTGCAGTCTGTCTACGAGGTTGACGTCGTTGAGGACCTTGGGAAGGAGAGTACTGCTTCAGTACCTGCTTCGCCACGTGTTCCTAAGACCCCAAATCGCCTTAGATCTCCGATTCCTAGACGATGTGGCCGAACAGAGCTAGCACCAGTGGCAGTGGAGGAGAACATGGTTCCTGCTAAGGAGCCGGAGCAAGTTGGGAAGTACCTTCCACCCCACAAGAGGAGATCGGAACAGATCTCTGAAGCGACGGGTGCTTTAGGTGCAAAATACGTCCCGCCACACAAGAGGCAAGCGAAGACCCAGGGTGAGAGTCGTGCCGGTGGCTCTTCATCCTCCAAGGCAGCGCCGTACCAAGTGAACAACGCTTCAAGGTCTATTGTCCTAGGAGAGCTGATATCGAAGAGGATTGATGAACTAGAGGTACTCCGTCAATCCTTGAATCACAAAGGAGCACGTGATGAGGCCGTCTTGAACAACGTTGCAGATCTGGAACTTGAGATTGAAGGTCTCAAAGGCGAGCAGAGAGCCTTTCGAAGAAAGAATCGAGAAGGCCATTCTGCAAGACAGGAGCGAGACAATGAAGCCTTGGGACGTCGTTTAGCCTACGTCAAGGAAAGGTCGAGGAAACGTGCAGCCAGTCATAGGTTGGCCGGTCAGGCTGAAAGGACTGAGGAAAGGCTTGAAAGAGAAGAAGAGTGGCATCGACGCTTCAATCGGCCTGGCACTGGTCGAAAGGTGCAAGTTTTCCCCTTAGCTGAAGGAGTCTTGGCAAATGAAGTCCAAGCAGCACCATTGTCCAAGAAGGCAAGGACAGCGTTGCTTGAGGAGGAGGAAACGGCTTTCCTTGAGTTGCCACCGCCTACGGCACGAACAAAGCAACTTCCGCCGTCGGCAAGGAAGAAGACCTCACAGCAGAAGAAGGCTAAGCACAAGAGAGAAAGACGCAGAGAGCAACGACTAAAGGAGAAGAAGACCGGCGGACCTGGAGGCATTGGCCACTTGACTTCCTTTTCTGGTCACGGTGACAACTCTTCAGAGAAATACCCTGGTTGGACACGGATCGACTTCGTCATCGACTCCGGTGCAAGTGCAACCACCATTCCCAAGGAATTGGTGGGCAAGGTGAAGCTTGGTGAGTCCGTGGGGTATCACAGTTTCAGGTTGGCCAATGGGAGCCTTGTGCCGAATGAGGGCACATTGGTAGCCAAAGCGTGGCTTATGGGCAACGAGGAGGTTGGAATGAGAATGGCTGTTGCCAACATCTCACAGCCTCTCATCTCAGTTGGTCAGATGGTCAACCAAGGAAACAAAGTTGTCCTATCCCCAAAGGTCAGTTACCTCGAGACCAAGAGTGGAGGTATTCACCGGATCTTTCACCGGATCTTTCAGCGAAATGGCGTCTATGTTCTACCAGTATGGATAGACTCTGCAAAGGTGTCAAAGAGGTCCAGCCCTTTCAGCGGGCAGGGCCACAGTTGCCTGTAAGACCAAATTCTAAGCAGAGGACCGAGAGCTGCTTCAGCTCCGATCCCGCTTCGGGGGTGCAGAGCCGTGTCGGCTCGAGCCCCCAGGAACCTATTGGACATACGGCCCCTTTGGATGGTGAGGCCGAAGTTGATGATGATTTCTTCGAAGATTGGATTTTCGGAGATTTAGAGGATGGACAACCACTGGTTGAACCAGAAGAAGGCAGGAAGGCGAAGCCAATTAGAGCACCCTGCCTTCCAAGCCCGGAAGAAATCGAAGCTCATGCAGTTAGTCATATTCCGTTCAGGGCATGGTGTTCGCACTGCGTACGAGGACGTGGAAAGAGCTATGCCCATCGTCGGGTCGTGAGATCCGATGATCCAGAAGAAATTCCGGTCATCAGCATAGACTATGGGTTCTTCGGAGCCCCAGGTGAATTGCCCTCCGATGCAGTTGGGGGAGCAAAGATGCCAGTTCTCGTGGTGAGAGACCGCAAGAGCAAAGCGCTATTCACGCACTTGGTTCCGTCCAAAGGTGTGGAACACTTCTACCCAGAACAAGCACTGTGTAGGGACTTGAAGTTCCTAGGGTACCCAAGCCTGGTCATCAAGAGTGATCAGGAGCCTTCAATCAAGGCTGTCGCAGATGCTGTAAAGAATGCGTTTGCATCTTCAAACGTAAGGGTGCAACTGGAGAATTCTCCTAAGGGAGATCATCATGGGAAATCCAACGGGGAAGCCGAGGCAGCCGTTGAGATCACCCAGGGGTTGTGCAGAACTTACAAGGATGCCTGTGAAATAGGCATGGGAGAAATTATCGACCCCAAGTCACCAATGTTGGCTTGGCTGATCGAGCATGCGGGCAACATGTACACTTTGTATGCCCATGATGATACAATGAAGGATGGCCTGACACCGTTCCGTAGACTGAAGGGACGTGATTGGCAGGTGTCGCTGCCCCCTTGGGGAGAGGCAGTGGACTACAGAGTGCGAACGAAGCACAAGTTGGAGGCACGGTGGTCCACAGGTATCTTTTGTGGCATCAGACTCAATACTACGGAAAAGGTTGTCGCTACTGAGAACGGCGTGGTGGTCGTGCAATCAATCAGACGGAAGCCAAAGGAACTTCGTTGGGACCCTGACCTGTTCAAGAAGGTCAAGGGTACACCATGGGCGCCAGTCCCTGGTCGAGCGGCTCGACCAGAGGAAGCGCAGGAGCTGCCGGAAGCAGTCACGGTTGAGCCAGAATTGCCAGACGAGCCTGCAAAGGAGGCCGTACCGGCAGAAAGGAGTGAGGCGCCACGGCGCGTCTACCTCCGTCAAACGGATTTGGACAAACATGGATACACAGCGTCCTGTCCGGCGTGTGATTTAATTCGCGCCGGTGTTTCACGTGAAGGAGTCCACCACACGGAATTTTGCCGAGCGAGGTTGGTGGAGAAATTGGAAGAAACCACAGAAGGTCGAAAGCGTTTGGAAGCTGCCAAGCGCAAGGAAGGGCCCGTCAAGGCTCGGAAGGTGGAACAGCCTGACGGAGGGTCCAAGGAT